TATGAATTTTAAAATGAAAAAAAAAAGTATTAGAGGATTGGATCGGTTAATTGACAAATTGGTTGTTTAAACCGCAATTAATACAACCCGGCTTTTTAATAGTGAAAATTAATCGAACCAAACCCATTTTTTGGTTCAAACCAACCCAAATCGACCAGATTCAGTTTGGTTTAGTCGGCTTGATTGGTTTTTCTATTTTTTTTGCCTAGCCCTAGTCCTGTTCCAAATTTATTTTATCCTATTTTTAAAATTTTATTGTATTGTAAATAAATTAAAATTAATTAATAAATAGAAGGGTAAATGGGATTTTTTAATTACTATCCTACCCATACCCAATTCTCGTCTCGTCCTCACCTCACCTCACCTCCTGAAAATTCTCAAATATTTAATGATCACTCCAATTCTCCTTCCCGTTGTCATCACTAATCAGGACGGATTTAGGGGGCCCTTTAATCTTTTTTGGTGTAAAAAAATAAAATTTCTTATGAAATTTTTTTTATGTGTAAATTTTTTTTCTACATATTAGCCCGACTTATAATCTGATTCTGTCGTTAATCAAACTTGAACATTGGATACACGCTTTATAGTTTTATAAAGAGATTTGCAAACATTGACCAAGTATCACTAATTATGCTCATGTTTACCCCCATTATTTCATGTTATAATTTTTGAAATAGTATTTTTTTCAGAGAATGTGTGATTGAAAAAGAATGAAAAAATTTTGATTTATGTGTAATATTATTTTATTAGAGAATGTATAATTGAAAAAAATATATATATTATAAATTTAATGGGGTTCAAAAGGAGGCTATAACCGTTCAAGTAAATCAAATTCTAGGAATTTAGCATTGTGTAATTTGTGTGAGCTAGTACGGCATTCTACTTCTTATTTCATAGCTGAGATTTACTATTTTTAACGAGTCCAACAAGCATATTGCTCCTATCACTTGTATTTTAAATTTCTAAATTTCATGAGTCCAGTAAGCATGTTGTTCCTAACTATGTGGCACATTGGAACAAAACAACGCAATATACATAACACCCGTCCCTGTTTGGTAGGAATTAAAATCTAGATTTTCAATTAAGTCACAATCATTAATTAATTTTAATCATATATTTTATGGGTCTCATAACTTTTTAATCATATATTTTATCAACTTCTATCAAAATCTACTAAAAATATAATTTTAAGATGTGACTTTATGCAATGGATTATCTTCTATTAAATAGCATTATTCCTTTAATTAATGGTATCGAATAAGCGAGGTTGGTTCGGCAAGCCTACGAGGCTTATGGACTTGGAAATCGAGGCCCGAACAGCCCAACATAGGCCTTGTTCTAGTGGCCCCAGGTCGCCAAGGCCCAAACAGCCAACAAATTATAAAAGGAAACAATACATAACTCCTAATTTTAAAGATCACATTTCATAAATAACAAACTCATTAAAATATTTCAAAAATCGGTGGTAAATAAATTTATTGAATATTAAAATACAACATAATATACATTAATTATTTCTACCAATCGATCACAATCAAACACATACTTGATCGCATAGGATCATCACAAATAACCAAGGGCATCGAATTAAATTGCACCTTTTGTACCGTCAATGCTTCCTACAACCCAAGTTATACCTTTTCCAAATCCAGAATGGAATGGATATCAAGCTGCACCCTACTTAACATCAGAGAGGAGCTTACCTACACCCCCATCATTTTCCATGAACGAGTTACCAAGTTATATGAACTTCCTAATTCAACATCAACAGGAGATGGATTAACCGTGACCAACTTTGTCTTCGGTGTAACTAACTATGACCAAATTTGTATTGAATGTGATTGTCTGTGACTAAGATAAATCTCAAGTCACAATTGGTCACACTCAACACAAAATTGGTCAAAAACAACCATGACGACCACCAGCATATCGCACAACCACCACCACATGAAGATCCAATGCTCGTAGCTGCAACCAGCATACCGTACCAACACATATAACACCAGTCACCACCGCCAAAACACCACCAGTCATCACCATAACACCCCACACCACTGCACAGCACCCACTACACATCGCACACACCACTGTAGTCACCACACCACACACAGCACCCACTACACACCACCGCACACCACCACGCCTAACCTCAACTGAACCCAACCACCACTAAGTAGAGGTGTCAAGACGGACGGGCCGGCCATAACCCGTGAAAACCAGGACCGCGGGCTGACCCGTGACCCGTGCGGGCAGTTCACGGGCCAAGGAGGTGTAACCCGTGGGTTTCGCGGGTTG